TTTTGCTTGCGATATATGTCCTATCATCTACTCATTGTTTCTTATTCTGGTATAATATATGGAAAAATATTTTATTCATATAGAATGAATAAATCAGATAGATTGAAAACTTGGTCATATGTAGAGAACCTTTAGTCGTAAAGATTGTACGATTCAATATGCTTGTGATAATGTATTTGACCTACCTGCCGGATTGATTGACCGAAGCTCTAGCCATCATCATTGCATTAGTGCGCATTCTAAAAATGCTGCTTAGTAATGTAGTGTCTTAGTAATGCTGCTGTTAGTAGTAGTGCTAGTTAGTAGGCTGCTAGTAATTAGTGCCGCAAAGTCTTTTCATTCGGCGTGTATTGCATAAAATGTATATGAACGGGTCTAGCTTAACCAACTTATCAACAATATCGAAGGAGCAGTGATCTAATTCATAGACAGATAAGTCAGTTAGGAATTGGAACAGCGATACGTTTTGACCATATAGCGAGGGGTGTCTCTAAACGCTTTTGAACCTCAAGCTGCTTGCTTTTTCGTAAGTACCTTATCGTCATATCTATAAGGAATTGCATTACACCAGGTACGAGCAGCCCGCCTAGCCATTGTGTGCAGCTGCTTACGCAAGAGTGTTAACGGTAGGAAGGTGATGCTGGCTAGTTGTCCGGATATTCCTGGAGGATTATGGGGCAACACTGAGCTACCACTTGACCACTCAGAGCCCAGCATCGTTCGAGAGCAGGTGGATTATAGCTTCATTGAGTGAGCATTTTTTCGGGTGAAGATGTGTAGTGTGCTCTCAATTCCTAACTAGGTTTTGTATATATGAATCTGTATTTGTAACGAATTATCGATCGATTGTGTAGTAAGCAGCATTGTTTTGATTAAATTTCCTTAGTTGTAAGTAAAATATTTGTAATAACTGTCATGTGCATCTGCGTAAAACAGGTTCATTATATCACATAGTGAGAACCCATGGGTTCGACTATAAGCCCAATTGTGAAAGTTTTGCTTGTTTGTGCTTGGATGTAGGGCTTTGGTGCTGGTGAATCTCACATCGCAGCCGCTTAGCTGAATCTGCTGACTCACTACTGACCCTCCGGCTGGGACGGATGTTAAGGAGTTGAGAATCTGGCGTAAGGCGTGTTTTCACTGATGCATGCTTACTGATATCTGAACAACGTTCCGATGAATCTTGCACATGAACCGAGTGACATCGTCACCCGTACTTAAATGTGTGTCAAAAAAGGGGATTCGCCTATTAACAAACCGTTGCCGGACATTCAGTTGTGTTTTTTGTGTGTAGTCATAAAATTCAGTTCTATATTGTTTCTGAGAATGTGGGTATTATAGGCGTTATCTGCTACAGGTTAGAGTGGTTCGTTGATATTGTGTTTGCAGGTGTCCCTTGTGGTCTGCAGCACCTGCTTGCACTCCTGCAATCAAGCACACTTCTACAACCACTGGCAGACATGCTTGCAGATTTCTATGTTCCGGCTGAGGTTACTTATCACTCTCTGCTAGCTGAAGCTGCAGTGCAACGACTCCTTCAGGTATTTAGATTGCAAATGACGGCTAGATCTGTACTTGGTTATTATCAGTAGAAACTAAATTCAGTAGTTCACTATTTGCTGGCGTTATTAATGGTTATATTGACAGAAATGTAATTGGATGATTGTCCTCTGCTCACGTACAAAAACGGTGTACTCATCCAACACTTCCGCAGTCTACCTGACGACAAGTTTACATTTTGTAGGAAAGTTTAAAAACCATTTGGTTCTCCAAAGTAAACAGCGGGCTTGCCATGTTGTATGTTAATACACGGTGACATGCTTTGACTTGGTAGCCATCTGTTATGACCAGGTGGTTTATGCCCGGTTGGCCTACTCCCATTTCGCCTACGGCGGAATTCCCATTTCGTCTATAGCAAAACTCCCAGTTGGTCTACACCCATTTCGCCTACTCCCAGTTCGTCTACACTAAAAATCCACCCCATTCCCATTTTGTCTACCATCAGTTTGTCCACTAAATAATCATTTATGTAATATATGGTTTTGATTGGCATACATAGACAAGACGGAGTGGCATCCACTCTAATTTCTCCTGGTATTTGTTGTAATATCAATACTACGACGAAATGGCACTATTACCCATTCTGAGAGTAGACGAAATTGGAGTAGGCCAACTGGGATGTTACTGACCCTGACTTGCCGAGAATATGCGGTTGTAATTGGGTAATCCTCAATGCTTCTCGCTCAATTCACAGGTTGGTGGACGCTGACGGCTTGCCCTGCAGTGACCCTGGCAAGGCCAACTGGCTTCACCTGAGCCGGCACCTATCAATGTACGAGAGCATCCTGCAGCTTCTGCATCAGTGCATGAGCGATGACATCATGCTGCAGCAGCAGGTGGGGACCGACAAGGCTGTGTTGTATCGCGTCGTCAGACTTCTCAATGCTGACGTTCTAGGTACGTACGTTATAAACTTACTCATCTTTTTTTGAGCCGTCATGTCAGAATATTCCTGTCACGCTCATAGCATGAGAAATAACATTTATTTATTGAATTTCTCTTCCTGAACTAACAATAAGGTTAAATTCGTTAGAATATATTATGAGCGTTAGATATGTAGAAATATGTTACACATATACATTACTATGTATTAAATACATAGTATAGCTCTTAATACATTACATTATTACCTCTGCCAAGGGGTTGGCAGGAGGTTATGTTTTCACCGGCGTGTGTTTGTTGGTTTGTGGGTTTGTGTACAGCCTAACTGAAAAAGTTATGGACGGATTGTCATAAAATTTTCAGGATAGGTCAGAAATGGGCTAACTTAGAATTGATGAGATTTTGGTGGTGATCCGAATTGATTAATTAATAACATTTTTAGGATAGGTCAGAAATGGGCTAACTTAGAATTGATGAGATTTTGGTGGTGATCCGAATTGATTAATTAATAACATTTTTAGGATAGGTCAGAAATGGGGTAACTTAGAATTGATTACATA